CACTCCCACATCGCGGNCTCAGCTCTTTAAATACCATACACGCACAACACACACATACACACACATACGTACACACGCACCTTGGCATGGATGGCAGACACGGCTTGTTGCCGCATCAGAAAACCCGCACGCATACCTATCCTGAGGGAGGGTGTGCGGGGGTTGGGGTGTGCGGGGGTGGGGGGGTATGGGAGGGTGCAGTAGGTGGGGGTGGCGTGGGAGACGGGTTTGGGACGGAAGGGGCACGAGACTACTGAGGACTGGCGAGCGAGGGGAAATGAGGGGTGGGAGGGTGGGGGAAGGGGTAAAACCCACGAAAGCGTGGGGGGCCCCACTGCCACCTCCAGGCTATGATCTCGCTGGGTATGCAGGTATGCCCCCTAACCACCTCCCAACCACCACCCAACAGAAACCAGGAGCGGTCCCGATCTTTTCCCGCCATCCACTCCAATTACCCCCACCCCCACCCCCACTCCCACCCCACGGTACGGCAGGCGGCATGATAGTACCACGTCCTACGCCGGTATGACGGCTTTCCGGCCGGTTTCCCCGAGCCCCCCCCCATCACCCTCTCCTTCCCCCCTTTCTCAACATAAAAACCCTAACCCCCCTGAAAACCCTAACCCCCCTGAAAACCCTAACCCCCCTGAAAACCCTAACCCCCCTGAAAACCCCCTGAAAACCCTGAAACCTCACCAAAACAGTTGGTGGTGTATGACCACCATCGAATACCCACACACGCCCAGCACCACCGCCCAGGTCCAACCCTGCCACTGAGGGGGAGACTGCTTCGCAGCGTAGGCCTGTACGACATCATCATCACCACCACCATCACCACCATGACGGGGGCGGCGCCAGAGGGGAAAACACACGAAACACAGACGCACCGGGAGGGGGTGGTTTGGCGGGGGAAAGGGATGTGAGGATGGAGGACACGGCGCGAAGGGGCATCCCCCCTGAGCAGAAGGGGGTGGTCAAAGATGAAAAAGGGGAAGGTCACGGCAATACACGATGACAACCCATCGCCATGTGGGGTGTGAGGAGGGCGGGGGAAACGCCCAAACCCAGGGGTGAGAGGAGAGAGAGAACGTGTCCGTACGTAAGAGACGCAGCGCCGTACACACAACACCGACTCAACCCAGCCCCAGCCCATCAACCAATCATCATCACCCAAACCCAAATCCACTTTCACCACACGCCAAAACCCCTTCCGG